ATTTTTGGTGATATTAGGTCGCATCCTGGAGATTTTTATACCCTTGCAGAGGGTATTATAATTTTGTCCAAAAGTGTGCAACGCAGTGAAGGAGACATCTCCGACCCTATAAAGTATATATATTCTTGATCAGGATCACCTCCTGAGTTGATATGAGCATGTCCGTCTGTCCGTCTGTCCGTCTGTCCGTCTGTCTGTCTGTCTGTTTCTACGCGAACTAGTCTCTCAGTTTTAAAGCTATCGTCTTGAAACTTTGCACACACCCTTCTTTCCTTTGCACGCAGTATATAAGTCGGAACGACCGGGATCGGCCGACTATATCCTATAGCTGCCATATAACTGATTGATCGGAAATGGTATAACTTTGGTGTTTTTAGAGTTAGAGAGTTCAAATTTGACATGAGTGCTATTTTTGGCAAAACATTACGACATGCCAAATTTCATAAGGATCGGCCGACTATATCTTATAGCTGCCATATAACTGAACGATCGGAAATGACCCAACTTTCGTTTTTTTGAAGATAGAAAGCTGAAATTTAATACAGATTCTATTTTTGGTCAGTTGATCCAACGTACCAAATTTCATAAGGATCGGCCGACTATATCCTATAGCTGCCATATAACTGAACGATCGGAAATGACCCAACTTTCGTGTTTTTGAAGATAGAAAGCTGGAACTTGGTACAGATTAAATTTTGATCCATCCTACCAAATTTCATAAGGATCGGCCAACTATATCCGATGTTTGCGATATATATCCGGTTTTAGCTGCAAGGGTATATAAACTTCGGCTCCGCCCGAAGTTAGCTTTCCTTTCTTGTTTTGGGTTGAGTTCGTTTATGATTTTGAGTAACTCATGTGGCCTAAATACAATAGGTTCATACGTTGATGTGTCGATATCTGATGTGGCTGGCAGTGAGATCCCGTTTGATGATGTGTTGGGCTGAAATACATTTTGAAGATGCTCTGCGAATCTGTCGGCTCTTTCTTCGTCGCTTCGAGCCCAGTTGCCTGTGGATGTCCTTATTGGCATTGCAGATTCGATTGGTGCGCAGAGAGATGAGTGTGCTCTCCAAAGTGGGAACTTGGAGCTCATTGGGGATAACTGCTCTATGTAGTGTTTTTGCGACCCTTCTTCTTCATGAGCCTCTCTGTAGCGTCTTTTAGCCTTTGTTTTGCGGTTTGTGATCTGATGGATTGCCATTCTCGCCGTGAGCGTCGCTTTGCTAGAACGAGCTGCTCTTTTTCAACGTTCGTGTATCTATTATTGTACGATGTTTTTGGGGTTTGTGGAGTTAATACGCGAGCTGCTGCGACCAAGACGGATTCAAGAGCGTTTGTGGATAAGTTGATATCAGCTTCGTCATTCAGACGTGGATTCAACTCGATGTGCGAACTTACATATTTTTTGTACTTAAGCCAATTGGTTTTATTCGTTGTTAGTCTGAATGGTTTATCTACCGCAACTGGATGTAGATTAAGATAAAAAAGTACAGGCGAGTGATCGGACGATAGATCTGGTAAGGAGTTGGCACTTATCAGGTTGCGAGGAATGTTTTTTGTGACTGCAAAATCTATCAAGTCTGGCAGTTTTCTAGGATCTGTTGGCCAATATGTAGGTGTCCCAGGTGACACACAGTCTAGCTTGTTGCTTGCTTTTATTATTGCATTGTACAACTGCCTTCCCTTAGGAGTCACAAGTCGAGATCCCCAGTGCGTGTGCTTGGCATTGAAGTCTCCTGCTGCTATAAATTGTTAGCTCAGAGAGTTGAAATATTCCATGAATTGGGATTCTGATATTGTGAACCGAGGAGGACAGTATACGGCGGCAAGCTTTAAAGATCGGGAATACATTTGCATATCTATTGATGTAGCTTGCATGAAGTTAGTGGCGAAGCTGTTGTGGAAGCAGTGCTTGATGCGATTTCTAATCAGAATCCCAGTGCCTCCATGAGCTTTCCCGTCTGGGTGATTCGTGTTGTAGAATAGATAGCCTCGAATTTGAAAATTATATTTATTTGTAAGATGAGTTTCTGCGAGTAGCATTACATCGATATGGTAATTAATAAGGAACTGAGTTAACTCGAGTTTGCGCTGTGAGATGCCGTTTGCGTTCCACAGTGCTATACGGAGTGGAGCCATTGATTATTTAGTCTGTTTTTGAGCAACAAGCAGCTCAATCAAAACGTTCTGGTTTCGCATAAGATCTTGCATAGTTGTCTGCATGAATGACATGAATTCCATCATACTTTGTTGAAGATTACATATCATTGTTTCAAGTTTGTTCGTAGACGGTTCTTCTGGTTGATGAGGGGGAACTGATGATCTTGGATTGGTGGGAGCGGTACTTTTAAGACCCAATTTTAGAGCAGTGGCATAGCTTGCGGATTTGTCGGTGACCTCGTTATTGGCTAAAGATTTAACAGCTAAAAGGGGGATGACATTACGTGTAGATTTCATAGGTGGTGTATGTGAGTGAGCAGTGGTCACTCTTTGGTGTGTGCGGCTTTTCAGTTCCTTGTAGACTGGACAGCCCCTGTAGTTAGCCGTATGGTTGCCTCCACAGTTTCCGCACTTTTTGCTGCTGGGATCCTCTTTATTTTTTGGGCATTTGTGAGATTCATGAAGGTCTCCACAAGCAACGCATACTGGACGAAGCGTGCAATAAGACCTTGTGTGGCCATATTCCTGACAATTATTACACTGCACCGGTCCATTTCTTTTGTGCGGCTCCTCTACCGTAATTCTGCGGTGTAGTAGGAACTGGAGAGTAAAAATTGGATGCACTTCATTTTTTTTCAGAGGCTTGGATTTGGTTTCGGGTTCAAGTTCTACCTTGAAAAGAGGTTGAGGCTTTCTTTCTCTATTCAAAATGTTACTAACATTTTTTACATTAAAACCTTTCTCCATCAGTGCTCTTGTAACTTCATCTGGTGTTACTTCCGGCTCGATACCTTTTAGTACTACTTGCTGGCCCTTACTGCTTTTTAATTGGTACGTGTAGAAGTTTTTATTATTGTCGTTTAGATACTTTGACAGAATTCTGTAGTTTGCTTCCGTATTAGTCTGAACTTTAGTTTCATGAATATTTCCCTTTGTTAATGGAATTATGTGGAAATTGTCTGGTCCTATTAGATTCAGTATCGAGTTTACGAGAGTATTCGAACTTTTCTCTCGGATGTAAATCGGTGGCGGCTTAGGCTTTTTGTTGTCCCCTACGATGACTTCAGGAGGTGTATTATCGGATTTATCTGCCAAAATAGCAAATGCATGAGGGAAGGGTATGGGGTTTTATCCAACGAGAGCGCAGGAGAGCAAGAACGCGCCCTGCCTTGCGATGTTGGATAGAGTTCATTACTCGGGGTTGGGGTTATTGATCGCGGTTGGTTATAGCAAGCAAGCTAATCAGTCTTTATTATTCTGCTAAAATGAAAGGTAGTGTTATTGTAGCTCTGCTGTTCGTTTTGAGTGCTTCGAGTCTAAAAGTGGGAGATGGCGATAGAAATAGTGGATTTTTAAAGGAATGAAAGTTCATTTATTCACAAAACTCTATGTCAAAAAGCCATCAGGCATTCCTTAAATTGGACAAGGAGTTCGACAAATGCTGCCAATCCAGAAAGACATCCAACAAGTTCGACGACTGTGCTTCTTGTTTAATTAAATGTAAAAAGTCTGACAATTCAAATATGAGAAGTCGCGTCTGGTATATTCTTCCCCCTGTGGATCATACTAACAATCCCGTACCCCGTTAAATTTATATCAACATTAAACATCAAAGATCCAGTCACTAATAATCCAAGTTACTACAAACACATAAAAGTAAATTGACTCGTAATCGCCGGCATGGTCAGAAAAAATCAATAATTTTAATTTAACTTAGATTTTGTTATTCTTTTAATAAATTTTTTATATTATCGGAGAGAAATGGTAATTTTTTTCAAAAATTCCGATGGCAATATATTCAGAAGATCGTATTTGATGTATAGCATATATGTGGTGTCTAATCGGACATATGTACACAGATTATTAAAGCTCTTATTGAGTTTTAAGAGCAAACTTCTGATAATATAATATTACCGTCACTTAAAAATATCAGTTTTGAGTAGGGAACTGCTTCAAAATTATGAGGAAATATAAATTATGGATAAGTTGATTTTAAAAATAGGGGCCAATAACGCGTGAACAGGTCGGACAAGTGGCACTCGGTGTTTGGTGTACATTTAGATACATTTCTATCTCGTGGCTCGCTACGCGTAGCACGTGTATCTTTTTATGCAGCTGTACAAGCCCATGGACTAAATTCAATTTATTATTCCACTATATGAGCTTTCGCACTTAACTTGCATGAATATATAATGAGGTCTCCGCTATGGAAATGGAACGGGTAACTGCTAACGCTGAACGCTAAATGGGAAAGGTAATGCGGAGGAAGTAAGGGGTGAACGGGGCAGACTGGGGCTGATTGGGGCGGAAAGGTATCGCAAGATTGCGTGTTCGAAGCTTGCCAACAACCATCTGACCCGGCGCCTGTTGTGAAACGGCTAAATTGAATTATTAATAACACGCAACGCTCGCACTGAAGTGGATGCTATATCTGCAAATGTGTATAATGCATATTGTGGTTTTGCTGAGACATCCTTGGGACAGTTGGCAAGGAAGAAAGTATAGCCATTTGGTTTCAGATTGGAGTAATTGAGATATGGGTTTGTTTCTTTAACGATAGATTATAAAACTACTTGCTTAGAAATCAATCCAATAATCTTTTTATTGTCAGTCAAATACTGTTTTGGATATCTTTAATCAAAATTGCAAACATCTATTTTGGGCAATCGAGAAATTATGGCAGATATACACGAGCTGATTGTGAAGTGCATTATTTTTTTGTACCAGGTGTATTTGCTTTTTGTAAGTATTTTTACGTAATATATGAGACTTGAAAGTTTGTTAAATAATTAAATTTCCTCAGCGATCCATTCAGCCTCTCAAAAAGGATGCCATGGCTGCTTATTTTTCACAACATTATGCTGTACTATGTGATCAATATGTTTAAACATCTGGCTCAAGGATGGGATATTTATTTATTTAGTTTTATTTTCAGATACTATTAACTCTCCTGGTCCTGTAAACACGTTCTACTATTTACCTCTGGTGTATGAGGAGCCTGCTGGTTCTGAATCAAATCACAGTTGGCATGAAATTCTTAGGTCTTCCAGCTGGCTCTTTTTCGAGTCCCTGTTCCGCCATCATTTGGCCCTGTTGTTGCCGTTTAATTTGGCCCTCCTGGTTCCCGTAAGAGATTCGCTTTGTCCTGTGGCCCCTAAGTGCTCCCTCTACTCCTCTTTCAGCGCTGCAAGTTGGGCTTCATTAGCTCTTTGGTGCTATTGTCTAACCTGGTGATGTTCGGATGCTTCGCTACGGCCATCTGCCAGCTGGTGATTTTTACCAGCCATGCTGCCAGCCTGCGCCTCCTCACGATTCTGTGCCTGGGTCCCATGTGTCAAATGCTCCTGGTGATGCGCCTCCTGGTCCGCATTTGGGTAAGTTCCCGCCACTGGATGGATCACCTGAGATGTGGCCTTAGCCTCTAATTTTTGGTTTCTCTAGTTCAGTATGTGGATTGTTGTTTGAGGAGCAGAATTTCGTACCTCAGCCGTCATAATCAGTCTCCGTAGCCCGAAGTTAGTAGCTGCAATCAAAGCAATAAACCAACCAAAGCAACCGGCTCTTTCACTGGGAAACGCAACCGAAAATCACTTTCACTCCGCAAACTGCCAAAACTGCAGCCATTTATGACAGCCCAGCAGAAAGGAAGGCTGGCCGGCGATCTCCTGGAACGTGTGTGGCACAAGGGCCAAAATCGCAAAATCGCAAAATTGTTGCTGAAAAGTTGAACAAATATTAAGATCAGCAGAATGTCGAGTAGAGTCTCGAGCGGGCAGCATTGTTGCTGGTGCAAACTGTTTGCTAGCCTTTGGCACAAACTTTTGACACGCTCCCCGGCCCCGACGCCAGTCGGACTCGGATCCGGATCCGGAGCCTTTGCCGTGGCCGTTGTCGTCGTCGTAGCCGTGACTCTGAGTCCAGAGTTGAGCTGGGGGGAGAGGCCTCCGCAGAGGCTCGCCCTGAACGAAAAATATTCAATGAAAATCGGCAGTCGGGTCTGTCGACTCTTTGTCAATAATACAAAATGGAAAAAATGAGTTGTTGCTGTTCGAGTTTGCATGGTGCAATGCAGACGTCGACGCAGCCCGGGGGTCCGGTTGCGATGCCGTCTGTCCCGACAGCCCACTACCGACAAGAGCATTGCCAAGTTGTGTGTTGTATTTACGTTTTCCTTGGTAATAATTAAATTTCAGGATCTTAAAAGCGATATTCGCAAAAATGCCACAAGTAGGATTTTAGTCTTGAATCGACATAAACCAAATTATAAAAGCATTAAGAAGGAATCAGGAACTTTAAGCTGGAAACACTTTTCTTGTTAAAACACTATAACCAACAAATGAACTTAAATAAAATATGATACTTTGTATTTCTCTGGTAGCTTCCTCTGATAACTTATTCTTCTTAATCTCATACCTAGTTTCTTGCATACTAATAACCCATCCTGAAAGGATGTTCCCTAAGAAGTTTTTTTCCTCCATTGCGCTTTGGGGCACCTATTCATATAGTTAGTTTACCCTCTTGGAATGATGTACTAGAGCTCGGAGAGCCCTCGACGAATCTCAAGTCGAGATATGGCCACACAGTAACCTAACGAGCCACAGGCATCTTCGGGCCCTATCCTTGTGACTATATAGTAATGAGCAACGGTACGGGTCCTCGTTTCTCTAAGCATGAGAAATTTAATTTGAAGCCACCCCACATGCACACGCACAGTGCCACATACATAATTGTATATTCACGTAAGAGATATGGTAGCTGAAAGAAGCTCTATCAACTGGAGAGTCTTGGGGCAGGGAAGCCGGGCCGAGCCGGGCCGGGGCGTGCCGGGCATGGCTTGCCTTAAATTAAGATAATGACACGTGAGGTATCGCCTCCCGGGGCTTGGAGTGCTTGGTAAATTGCGATAACATAGAAACGACCTGAATGGCGGCTCCCTTTAAAACACTTAACCCTTGACGCCCAAGCCAACCACCAGCACGCCCAACCACCATCCCCCTCTACCCATCGAATCCTTAAACCAACGACCCACCCAGGCGATTGCACGCACTTTTAAAGCGCAACTTGATGGAAAACTGCCAAAGAGTTTGACTTCCTTGTTGGCGGATGGGGTCCTAAAGTAGGACATGCCAATGTGCAGGAAAGGTACACTTTGTGGCAAACTGGGAGAGAGCTACTTACTTCGGAGGACAAAAAAAAAGTAATTAGTATTGCCTTCTCCTGGCAAAGGCACATACCAAAGATAAGAGGCAAAGGCCCAGGCGAACGCAAGGGCATAAACATAGCCAAAGTTAGGCCCATGGCAAAGGCTCCAAAGCGTCGCAATTTATGGCCGCAACATCAACTCGAACCCACACATAATAAATCATAACATTTTACAGATAATAGAAAACCTCACACATGTCCAATGAATTGCCTCCCTTAGCTACCAAAAGATATCGGTTTGTTGGCCCGCTAGCTAGAAATTTTAATAAGCCGCAAAGAGTTTCCACTACGAGCAGTAGAGGGAATAAAAATGGTTTCGCATAATTTATGCCGCCTAGGAGGAAACTAAACATGCCATCGCAGACATGAGCACTCTTAAGTTTAAAAGAGCAGGACCAGGTTTTACAAAAAACCAAAAGGCTGGCATTTTTCTATCAAATCTGTCAATATTCAATTTTTGGTTTTTTGGGGAAAAATTTAGTTTGTAGTAGGCTGTGAGGTCGAATTCCTGCCTATATAAGGCGGAATTTGTATCAGTATATTTTTTAACCGGCTAGAAGCAAGACGCAAAATTAAAAGTATAGTCTCTGAATTATTTTTTGAAAAAAAAAATATTTAAATTACAGTGACAAGTTTTATATATAAAAATAATAAAAATCAACGACTGGTGAGTATGAAAAATAAATTCCCCCAAAAAATATTCCTTTTTTTATAAATTATTAAATTAAATTCAGTAAATTAATATTCAGTACATAATAGTGAAAAAAAATTGTTTATCGAGTGAATTTTTATTAATAAATAGTAAAGACTGAAAAGTCTTGGTGCCGGTGCCAGGCATTTTAATTTATTTATTAACAAATAGTAAAGACTGAAAAGTCTGAAGCACATTGGTGCCGATGCCAGGCATTCATCTCAGCTTCAACCAGGGAAAAATATTTGCTTCTAAAAAAAAATCGGTATAAATCTAAATTTAATTTAAAATTTCAATCGTAGTACGGATCGCGTGAGTTTACATATCTCGTCCGGTTAGCGAATTTGCAAAAGCCAATGAACGGTTCCCCCAAAAAATAATCCTTTCTTTGGGATTTGATCGGTCAAAATTTATATTCAGTACACTTTTAAACGTTGAGAAAGCAGTTCCTAAATTAAAAGTGAAAAAAAAATTGTTTATCGAGTGAAATTTTATTAATAAATAGTAAAGAGTGAAAAGTCTTGGTGCCGATGCCAGGCATTCATCCCAGCTTTCAACTAGGAATAATTTTTGCATCTAAAAAAAAAATAGGTATAAATCTAAATTTAATTTAAATTTTCAATCGTAGTTCGGATCGGTACAAATTTAAATTTTATTTAAATTTTCAATCGTTGTTTGTATCGGTATAAATCAAAATTTTATTTAAATTTTCAATCGTAGTTCAGGTCGGTATAAATCAAATTTTTATTTAAATTTTCAATCGTTATTCGGATCGGTATAAATTAAAATTTTTTATTTTCAATCGTAGTACGGATCGCGTGAGTTTACATATCTTGTGGGGTTAACGAGTTGGCCAAAGCCAATGTACGGTTGCAAAGCACGTTGAGTGAAAGTGTTAGAAGCTTCCTTGGGCAACGCCCTTGGACCGGGCCGCGTGCTTGTCTAGATGTCGGATGGTATTGCCCGCCTATCTAGCCTTAAACTAATGCTGAGGGCAGCCTCACGACAGGCGAGCACCACCTTACCACGCCTCCGCCTATTAATGGTGTCATTTACATGCTGCAGCCACATGCAGTTACCAGCAAAGGGCGACGATAAATCATACCGCGATTTTTGTTTCCATCGGAGAAAAGTCGGTAGTTAATCGGTGCTCTTAGTTTTCTTTTGCCGTCAAAATCGTAAATAAATTATACGCCCTGATTGATCAACTTTTCCCCGATGACAACCATAAAGGGGATAGCAAGCGGGGACGCTGCACTGCCATTGTGGCCGAAAATGTCGAGGCAGCCGCTCGTAAACATAAATCCAAGTGACGCTAATTGTTTGTTGCAATTACTGCTGCAGTTGTTGCCACCGTTAAGTTACGTGTGCAGCCAGCGTCGAGGCGACAGGACCTGAAAGGGTCGATGTGGCAGGAAGAGGCGTTGTGTTTTGCATGCAAATTTTGTTGCATCTGCAGTTGCTGCTGATGCTTTCGCTGTTGATGCTTCTGCTGCTGCTGCTGCAACGGCAAACAATTACTCAAACATTGTTGCAACTGCTGCTGATATTGTGGATGTTGTTGCTGTTGCTGCCGCTGCTGCTCGTTGTGCGTGTTAAATGGCAACTACTCTGGCGGCTAATAATAATCACTCGACGCCCTGTCGATTTCTACTTAGTTTAAGCTGCTTCGTGTTTGGCTTTTATCTTCATTTTAGCTCTTTGTCAGCAGCTTAAACAGAAAGGTTTTCAGAGCTTTGATTTAATTGAATGTTGCTTTAGCAACCTGAGAATTAGAAAATTTAAACTTTTCGAAAATGCAACAATGCATAGCAAAGGGCTCTTAATTTGTATAAGCTCATTTTAATTTTTGTTTTTTTTTTTAATTGAAGTAACTTGCCTCTGTAAACATGATGCAGCTGCAAAAGCATGCAATCCCTTATTTCTAGCCCCCTCATTTTGATATTCAGCAGATAATTCCTACTATCGCACTCTTTTTTTTCAGAAAAACTTTTACGGCTTTGATACGACTTTATACGGATCTTTTTTACCTTTAACGGATCATCGCTAAACTATGGGCAAGAGAATCTTCGACGATTACTTGAACTCGTTGGGATCTGACGAGAGCATCCTGTCCGTGATCGAGCCCTCCACTGAAGGTATGCTGACAGGGAAGTCTTGCAAGGCCAAGAAAAAGCCTACATGTGCCCGGAAACAGAAGAAGTGCTCGAAGCTTAAGAAGACGTGCAAGTCAAAACTATTAACTATTATCAAATTCATCAAATTTAAATACCCATTTGATGTAAAACATGCCCACAATTTTTATGCAAATGCTTCGGATGTCATTAAAATATTTTGATCCAATGGCAGCCGATACAGCCGTTCATAAATTTGGAATTACTCGCAGTGTAACAATGTTTATTGTAATTAATTAACAATGTTTATTGTTTGCACAATATGCAAGAGTTGCATTGCAGTGGCCATTTTGTTTTCGTAACTCTTATTATTTCTGCTACAGCATGTACTATAGTAGTTCAGATGCTTGTGGCCGCTCTGCCTGACTGACACTCAATTTTCAGTTGAACTTCAACTGTTGGAATATTTTACAACACATATTTGCAGCGCACATTATGAATTTAAATTAAATTATTTTGGTTTGCCTGCACTATTTTGAGTGCTTTGATTCGGACAGCCATCAAGGAACGTTCTTGGTTCAATGCATAATCTGTTAATTGGTAATTGTAAACCATTAGTTAACTAACATGCAGAGTTGAGAAACCTGGGGCAAGATTCCCTTAATTACAAGTACAATGACTGAGGTGGCTCAAAACCTAAGTTATTGTTAGCTTTTGATGAATGGAAATCCACAACACGGCCGATTAAATTGAGGATAATGGTCGATGAAAATGTATAAAGATATTTGGTTTCAGATTGGAGTAATTGAGATATGGGTTTTGATTCTTTAACGATAGATTATAAAGCTACTTGCTTAGAAATCAATCCAATAATCTTTTTATTGTCAGTCAAATACTGTTTTGGATATCTTTAATCAAAATTGCAAACATCTATTTTGGGCAATCGAGAAATTATGGCAGATATACACGAGCTGATTGTGACGTGCATAATTTTTTTTACCAGGTGTATTTGCTTTTTGTAAGTATTTTTGCATAATATATGAGACTTGAAAGTTTGTTAAATAATTAAATTTCCTCAGCGATCCATTCACCCTCTCAAAAAGGATGCCATGGCTGCTTATTTTTCACAACATTATGCTGTACTATGTGATCAATATGTTTAAACATCTGGCTCAAGGATGGGATATTTATTTATTTAGTTTTATTTTCAGATACTATTAACTCTCCTGGTCCTGTAAACACGTTCTACTATTTACCTCTGGTGTATGAGGAGCCTGCTGGTTCTGAATCAAATCACAGTTGGCATGAAATTCTTAGGTCTTCCAGCTGGCTCTTTTTCGAGTCCCTGTTCCGCCATCATTTGGCCCTGTTGTTGCCGTTTAATTTGGCCCTCCTGGTTCCCGTAAGAGATTCGCTTTGTCCTGTGGCCCCTAAGTGCTCCCTCTACTCCTCTTTCAGCGCTGCAAGTTGGGCTTCATTAGCTCTTTGGTGCTATTGTCTAACCTGGTGATGTTCGGATGCTTCGCTACGGCCATCTGCCAGCTGGTGATTTTTACCAGCCATGCTGCCAGCCTGCGCCTCCTCACGATTCTGTGCCTGGGTCCCATGTGTCAAATGCTTCTGGTGATGCGCCTCCTGGTCCGCATTTGGGTAAGTTCCCGCCACTGGATGGATCACCTGAGATGTGGCCTTAGCCTCTGATTTTTGGTTTCTCTAGTTCAGTATGTGGATTGTTGTTTGAGGAGCAGAATTTCGTACCTCAGCCGTCATAATCAGTCTCCGTAGCCCGAAGTTAGTAGCTGCAATCAAAGCAATAAACCAACCAAAGCAACCGGCTGGGTTCACTGGGAAACGCAACCGAAAATCACTTTCACTCCGCAAACTGCCAAACTGCAGCCATTTATGACAGCCCAGCAGAAAGGAAGGCTGGCCGGCGATCTCCTGGATCGTGTGTGGCACAAGGGCCAAAATCGCAAAATCGCAAAATTGTTGCTGAAAAGTTGAACAAATATTAAGATCAGCAGAATGTCGAGTAGAGTCTCGAGCGGGCAGCATTGTTGCTGGTGCAAACTGTTTGCTAGCCTTTGGCACAAACTTTTGACACGCTCCCCGGCCCCGACGCCAGTCGGACTCGGATCCGGATCCGGAGCCTTTGCCGTGGCCGTTGTCGTCGTCGTAGCCGTGACTCTGAGTCCAGAGTTGAGCTGGGGGGGAGGCCTCCGCAGAGGCTCGCCCTGAACGAAAAATATTCAATGAAAATCGGCAGTCGACAGACCTCCTTTGAGTTGTTGCTGTTCGAGTTTGCATGGTGCAATGCAGACGTCGACGCAGCCCGGGGGTCCGGTTCCGATGCCGTCTGTCCCGACAGCCCACTACCATACCCTGAGCCCCGAACCTACAACCCTGCACCAACATCCCCAAAGCCCCAAAACCCCACACCCTCAGGCGTGCCAGCTGCCCTCGCCTCAAATTGAGAAACTGCCGTAAATGCTTTTCGATTTTTCGTTTTGCCACGGACAAGCCTTGGCTTTTCATATTGCATAATTGATTGGGGGTGCTGGGGGCGGAGTGTGTGAGTTTGGAGGTGTGGGCTGCATAAATACCAAGCAGACGGCATTGTCACTCCCCCTGGCGGCACAGGCCCACTCCGCCAGAATTTATGCACATTTTCAATATGCATTCAGATGCCATTCCCCATGCATTGATTGCCGCATTGGGCCGGAAAAGAGCATTGCCAAGTTGTGTGTTGTATTTACGTTTTCCTTGGTAATAATTAAATTTCAGGATCTTAAAAGCGATATTCGCAAAAAATGCGACAAGTAGGATTTTAGTCTTGAATCGACATAAACCAAATTATAAAAGCATTAAGAAGGAATCAGGAACTTTAAGCTGGAAACACTTTTCTTGTTAAAACACTATAACCAACAAATGAACTTAAATAAAATATGATACTTTGTATTTCTCTGGTAGCTTCCTCTGATAACTTATTCTTCTTAATCTCATACCTAGTTTCTTGCATACTAATAACCCATCCTGAAAGGATGTTCCCTAAGTTTTTTTTCCTCCATTGCACTTTGGGGCACCTATTCATATAGTTAGTTTACCCTCTTGGAATGATGTACTAGAGCTCGGAGAGCCCTCGACGAATCTCAAGTCGAGATATGGCCACACAGTAACCTAACGAGCCACAGGCATCTTCGGGCCCCATCCTTGTGACTATATAGTAATGAGCAACGGTACGGGTCCTCGTTTCTCTAAGCATGAGAAATTTAATTTTAAGCCACCCCACATGCACACGCACAGTGCCACATACATAATTGTGTATTCACGTAAGAGATATGGTAGCTGAAAGAAGCTCTATCAACTGGAGAGTCTTGGGGCAGGGAAGCCGGGCCGAGCCGGGCCGGGCGTGCCGGGCATGGCTTGCCTTAAATTAAGATAATGACACGTGAGGTATCGCCTCCCGGGGCTTGGAGTGCTTGGTAAATTGCGATAACATAGAAACGACCTGAATGGCGGCTCCCTTTAAAACACTTAACCCTTGACGCCCAAGCCAACCACCAGCACGCCCAACCACCATCCCCCTCTACCCATCGAATCCTTAAACCAACGACCCACCCAGGCGATTGCACGCACTTTTATAGCGCAACTTGATGGAAAACTGCCAAAGAGTTTGACTTCCTTGTTGGCGGATGGGGCCCTAAAGTAAAACATGCCAATGTGCAGGAAAGGTACACTTTGTGGCAAACTGGGAGAGAGCTACTTACTTCGGAGGACAAAAAAAAAGGAATTAGTATTGCCTTCTCCTGGCAAAGGCACATACCAAAGATAAGAGGCAAAGGCCCAGGCGAACGCAAGGGCATAAACATAGCCAAAGTTAGGCCCATGGCAAAGGCTCCAAAGCGTCGCAATTTATGGCCGCAACATCAACTCGAACCCACACATAATAAATCATAACATTTTACAGATAATAGAAAACCTCACACATGTCCAATGAATTGCCTCCCTTAGCTACCAAAAGATATCGGTTTGTTGGCCCGCTAGCTAGAAATTTTAATAAGCCGCAAAGAGTTTCCACTACGAGCAGTAGAGGGAATAAAAATGGTTTCGCATAATTTATGCCGCCTAGGAGGAAACTAAACATGCCATCGCAGACATGAGCACTCTTAAGTTTAAAAGAGCAGGACCAGGTTTTCCAAAAAACCAACAGGCTGGCATTTTTCTATCAAATCTGTCAATATTCAATTTTTGGTTTTTTGGGGAAAAATTTAGTTTGTAGTAGGCTGTGAGGTCGAATTCCTGTCTATATAAGGCGGAATTTGTATCAGTATATTTTTCAACCGGCTATAAGCAAGACGCAAAATTAAAAGTATAGTCTCTGAATTATTTTTTGAAAAAAAAAATATTTAAATTACAGTGACAAGTTTTATATATAAAAATAATAAAAATCAACGACTGGTGAGTATGAAAAATAAATTCCCCCAAAAAATATTCCTTTCTTTATAAATTATTAAATTAAATTCAGTAAATTAATATTCAGTACATAATAGTGAAAAAAAATTGTTTATCGAGTGAATTTTTATTAATAAATAGTAAAGACTGAAAAGTCTTGGTGCCGGTGCCAGGCATTTTAATTTATTTATTAATAAATAGTAAAGACTGAAAAGTCTGAAGCACATTGGTGCCGGTGCCAGGCATTCATCTCAGCTTCAAGCAGGGAAAAATATTTGCTTCTAAAAAAAAATCGGTATAAATCTAAATTTAATTTAAAATTTCAATCGTAGTACGGATCGCGTGAGTTTACATATCTCGTCCGGTTAGCGAATTTGCAAAAGCCAATGAACGGTTCCCCCCAAAAAATAATCCTTTCTTTGGGATTTGATCGGTCAAAATTTATATTCAGTACACTTTTAAACGTTGAGAAAGCAGTTCCTAAATTAAAAGTGAAAAAAAAATGGTTTATCGAGTGAAATTTTATTAATAAATAGTAAAGAGTGAAAAGTCTTGGTGCCGATGCCAGGCATTCATCCCAGCTTTCAACTAGGAATAATTTTTGCATCTAAAAAAAAAAATAAGTATAAATCTAAATTTAATTTAAATTTTCAATCGTAGTTCGGATCGGTACAAATTTAAATTTTATTTAAATTTTCAATCGTTGTTTGTATCGGTATAAATCAAAATTTTATTTAAATTTTCAATCGTAGTTCAGATCGGTATAAATCAAATTTTTATTTAAATTTTCAATCGTTATTCGGATCGGTATAAATTAAAATTTTTTATTTTCAATCGTAGTACGGATCGCGTGAGTTTACATATCTTGTGGGGTTAACGAGTTGGCCAAAGCCAATGTACGGTTGCAAAGCATGTTGAGTGAAAGTGTTAGAAGCTTCCTTGGGCAACGCCCTTGGACCGGGCCGCGTGCTTGTCTAGATGTCGGATGGTATTGCCCGCCTATCTAGCCTTAAACTAATGCTGAGGGCAGCCTGACGACAGGCGAGCACCACCTTACCACGCCTCCGCCTATTAATGGTGTCATTTACATGCTGCAGCCACATGCAGTTACCAGCAAAGGGCGACGATAAATCATACCGCGATTTTTGTTTCCATCGGAGAAAAGTCGGTAGTTAATCGGTGCTCTTAGTTTTCTTTTGCCGTCGAAATCGTAAATAAATTATACGCCCTAATTGATCAACTTTTCCCCGATGACAACCATAAAGGGGATAGCAAGCGGGGACGCTGCACTGTCATTGTGGCCGAAAATATCGGTATAAATCAAAATTTTATTTAAATTTTCAATCGTAGTTCAGATCGGTATAAATCAAAATTTTATTTAAATTTTCAATCGTTATTCGGATCGGTATAAATTAAAATTTTTTATTTTCAATCGTAGTACGGATTGCGTGAGTTTACATATCTTGTGGGGTTAACGAGTTGGCCAAAGCCAATGTACGGTTGCAAAGCATGTTGAGTGAAAGTGTTAGAAGCTTCCTTGGGCAACGCCCTTGGACCGGGCCGCGTGCTTGTCTAGATGTCGGATGGTATTGCCCGCCTATCTAGCCTTAAACTAATGCTGAGGGCAGCCTGACGACAGGCGAGCACCACCTTACCACGCCTCCGCCTATTTATGGTGTCATTTACATGCTGCAGCCACATGCAGTTACCAGCAAAGGGCGACGATAAATCATACCGCGATTTTTGTTTCCATCGGAGAAAAGTCGGTAGTTAATCGGTGCTCTTAGTTTTCTTTTGCCGTCGAAATCGTAAATAAATTATACGCCCTGATTGATCAACTTTTCCCCGATGACAACCATAAAGGGGATAGCAAGCGGGGACGCTGCACTGTCATTGTGGCCGAAAATGTCGAGGCAGCCGCTCGTAAACATAAATCCAAGTGACGCTAATTGTTTGTTGCAATTACTGCTGCAGTTGTTGCCACCGTTCAGTTACGTGTGCAGCCAGCGTCGAGGCGACAGGACCTGAAAGGGTCGATGTGGCAGGAAGAGGGGTTGTGTTTGCATGCAAATTTTGTTGCATCTGCAGTTGCTGCTGATGCTTTCGCTGTTGATGCTTCTGCAGCTGCTGCTGCAACGGCAAACAATTACTCAAACATTGTTGCATTTGCTGCTGATATTGTGGATGTTGTTGCTGTTGCTGCCGCTGCTGCTCGTTGTGCGTGTTAAATGGCAACTACTCTGGCTGCTAGTGATAATCACTCTACGCCCTCTGCTCCTGTCGATTTCTACTTAGTTTAAGCTGCTTCGTGTTTGGCTTTTATCTTCATTTTAGCTCTTTGTCAGCAGCTTAATCAGAAAGGTTTTCAGAGCTTTGATTTGATTGAATGTTGCTTTAGCAACCTGAGAATTAGAAAATTTAAACTTTTCGAAAATGCAACAATGCATAGCAAAGGGCTCTTAATTTGTATAAGCTCATTTTAATTTTTGTTTTTTTTTTTAATTGAAGTAACTTGTCTCTGTAAACATGATGCAGCTGCAAAACATGCAATCCCTTATTTCTAGCCCCTGTAATATGCTCATATATGCACTATTAATATCTTATGTATATATATCGACCACCCACTGTACCAAGAGTACTTAAAGGGTACACACTGTAACACTTCGTCGCAGTGTTTATGTTATCCAAGGTCTTGGTCATAAACCTATGTGCACCGAAATATGAATCGCCCGCTGTGCCTTTGCTGCACGCCGAAAAGTGCATATGTCCGCATATACGTAACACGAGTGGACCTTATGCATGTCCACATACCTCCGCCTAAGCGAACATAACATTAATATATATTCATATATAAATATTTAAGAATACATAACCGTCCCTCCGCTGCTGCTTTGGGCAGCGCAGCTACGAGACTTAGACCTCCTTTAATTCATAAGTAAATTTGTAAAACCAGAAACTCCCTTGAGTTCGGAGCGGCAACAACAGTTGCTCCGACTAAATAAAAAACCTTTACAAACCGAATCGAGAGCCTTCTATTGGGAATCGATTACAAATGCGATCCTGCCAGGAGGATCGTAGTACATGGCGACCGTGACAGGACCTGCAAGGACATCGAGGGATTCGAAGGACACACCTAAAAGGATATAACCCAGGAGAATAAAAAAAAAAAAAAAAACCCAAGAAACCGAAAAAAAAAAAAATCGAAATTTGCTGAAAAACAAGAAAATTGTTTTTTGGAATTTATGACAAAAATTAATCCGAGTGAGTAGAGTGCAGTGATGGGTAAACGCGGAGATGTACAAAACAAAGTATAAAGAGTATATACTCTTATACAAATAAATCCCCTCCAGCGTTGTCAACAAGGCAAAAGTTACGAGCTGAACTTGACTTTCCAAAAACAAAATTACCAAAAAAAAAAAAACCCACAGCGATCTGACACTCACTCAGTCCCCATGCCAACAACCTATCAGCAACGAATAATTCAACTTATAAATAAATAAATAATAAATAAACAACTTCCGAGATGACCGGATAACTGCAAAGAAATGACAGAGGACCCCTGGAATCACCCTTCTGCGAGCAAACCTGTGCCAGCACCGGTGCCCCAACATCTCAATAAAGAAGAAACGCCTGTGCAGCTAAGCCCGGAAAAGTGAACCGACAGCGCTGCCAAGAGCGCAAAATTTTTTTTCCCATGCACTGCGTTGCATATTTTTTTTTATTGCACTGCGATGCATATTTTTTTTATATATATAAAAATCCTTTGTAAAATTGAGCGACATTAAAGTTGCCCGATTAGCGTGTGGCCTGAAAACCATACAAATAATAGGCAGGTTATTATGTAAAAAAAAAATATATATACAATGAAAAATAGGCAGGTTTTATAAAAAAAAAAGTTACAAATAAAATATAAAAAAAAAAAAAAAAAAAAACAATATACACATAGCCAAATAAGGCAAATCTTTAAATGAGCCAAACTGAATGGCAAATAAATCATAAATTAAATCACACTATTAACACAAAATATTATACACCAATTCTAAAGAAAATACCCAAAATGGGTTTAGTAGACGTAAAACAGGTGGACTCCACCGCTAATGTAATAAACAATAAATGTAATAAAAGTTGAATCCAAAACCATTGATCTAGAACTAACGAACATCTTATTATTTATTGTTGTATTAATTATGAGCGCATATATCTTGTATAAGGCTTATATATTTCACAACAAATGTATATCTAAAAGAGCCATAAACAGAAGCCAGGCTAATGATCTGGACAAAATATAAAAATTAAAAAAAAAAAAAAAAAAAAAAAAAGGAAGCGCCTACAATAATTAATAATAATGCCTACAATAATTATTAAAAAGATGTTCCGTTAATAAATAAAACACCTACCTGTAATACCTGTATATCCACATGGAGATATATTATTTTTAGTATGCTATATTAAAGTACAGAATATATTTTTATAAAGAATGAAGTATAATCTATTTTTATGTCTAATAAAATAGAAATGAAACAGAAATAAATGAATATATCAAGAAAATATCCCGATAATATTATATCCGTAGTGTATTAGATAATGGAATGGAAGGAAATTTATGAAAGATTGCATGGTATAAAAATTGATTTTGACAAATCTTATAAGTCATTATCAAGGCCTAGGCCAGCACAGATAAACACTGTGAATAAGCATGCAGAAATATTAGTAAACCGCTTCAATACAGCGCGTACACTGATACATGACCAAAGAGACAGGCTAGACAAAGCCCATTGGTCTCAGGTGTCAAAATATCTGAATAAATTAAGAGACAATCTCATATTTATAAAGCAAAGGTACGACCTAACAATTTCAGTACCAACGATCCTGAACACACCCCTGACAATAGAAACTGGTGAAGAGTCAGAATATTCAGATTTATCATCACAGGTAAAAGCTGAAACTGATGACCCTATCTCCACGGAACCCGAAATTGAGGAAAAAGATATAAACAATCTTACAATTCCGGCAGTCCTTATTCAATCTGAATTATCAGACCAGGACTACACAGACTCAGATTTAGACAACAGCATTTTGGAAGTAAAACCTACCACAATGACTGACGAAACAATTGCCCAAAGGGCATACATTAGGGAAATATCGAATGTCATCCCAGAATTTAACGGGCAAAGGTTACACCTGCAAAGATTCATAACAGCTTTGAGGTTAGTCAACCTAACGAAAGGCACATTCGAAGCTTTGGCTGTAGAAGTTATTAAATCCAAAATAGTTGGATCCACTTTGTACAGAGTCCAAAGCGAAACGACTATAGAAGCAATAATTAAAAAACTGCAAGATACTATAGTCGGAGAAACATCTGACGTGGTTAAAGCCAAAATGGCAAAAACCGGCCAGAAAGGAAAAACGGCAGAAAAGTTTACAACAGAGATAGACAACCTACGGAAGCTTCTAGGAGCTTCGTATATTGACGAAGGTCTATCGGCCGAGCATGCTGACAAATTCAGCACCAAAGAAGCCATCTCCACAATGGTTAAAAATTGTGAGCATGGCCGACTTAAAACAATATTAGAAGCAAGTAATTTCACAACAATGAATGAAGCCGTCACGAAGTACATACAATGCAGTACTGAAATGACAGGCAATGCAAATTCCATACTATACGCCTATCGAGGAAACTATCGCGGTAACAATTACAAAAACAATTATCGCGGTAGAGGTAATAATCGAGGTAGATATAACAATAACGGGTATATCCAAAATAATGGTTACTACGGAAACAATAACTATAATAACAAAAACTACATGAACAACAACCGTGGTGGAAACCATAATAATAATGGCAATAATAGCCACAACCATAGCAATAACAACCATAACAATAACGTCAGGGTAGTCCATACAGATTCGGGAAACTCCCAGACGCCTTTAGGTAGACAACAGTAAGAAACACCAAAGTTCACACTATAAATCTCAGCCAAAGTACATTTGTTAGTTTCACAAACGTAGCAACAGGAAAAGAATTAGTTTTTCTACTAGATACAGGTGCAGAAATTTCCATATTAAAGGAAAATTCTGATGCTTTTCAAAACATCAAAAGTAATCAAATAATAAACATACAGGGTATAAGTCAAGAAGTTACCAAATCAAAAGGTTTAACTTCTATTGAAATTCAAACTTCAAAATACATAATTCCACATGATTTCCATATCGTAAATTTTCAGTTCGCTATTCCATGCGATGGAATACTAGGAATCGATTTTATTAAAAGATACAACTGTCAATTAGACTTCAAGCCGTCTGAAGACTGGCTTATAATAAGACCAAATAACCTCCAATATCCTATTTATGTTCCAATAACATATAGCTCTGGCAATAACTCTCTAATTCTGCCAGCAAGATCCCAAGTCGTACGAAAAATTGAAATGAATTCAGAAAATGACAGTGCATTAATTCCGAATCAAGAAGTTCAGCATGGTATCTATATAGCAAATACCATAGCAACAATCCAGAATGCATATATAAGACTATTAAATACCACAGATAAGGATGAAGTAGTTTATATTAAAAATATTCTGCATGAACCACTTTCAAACTACGAAGTAGTACAAACTGACTTAGAAACCCGAGAAAAAAATTGTATTATCCCAACTTTCCAAAAACTTCCCTCCTCAATTCAACAAACAACTCACAAAATTATGCACCCAGTATAGTGATGTGTTCGGACTAGAAACCGAATCAATCACTACCAATAATTTCTATAAACAAAAACTGAGATTAACTGATGATGAACCCGTATATATAAAAAATTATAGAAATCCTCATAGTCAAAAAGACGAAATTCAAAAGCATATCCAAAAACTCATTAAAGATAAAATAGTGGAAGCCTCTGTATCACCATATAATAGCCCACTTCTGCTAGTACCAAAAAAGTCACTCCCAAATTCAGAAAATAAAAAATGGCGATTAGTAATAGATTATCGTCAAATTAATAAAAAACTCTTATCTGATAAATTTCCACTCCCTAGAATCGATGACATTTTAGATCAACTAGGTAGAGCAAAGTATTTCTCATGTCTCGACTTAATGTCCGGTTTTCACCAAATTGAACTCGAAAAAAATTATACGCCTATCGAGGAAACTATCGCGGTAACAATTACAAAAACAATTATCGCGGTAGAGGTAATAATCGAGGTAGATATAACAATAACGGGTATATCCAAAATAATGGTTACTACGGAAACAATAACTATAATAACAATAACTACATGAACAACAACAACCGTGGTGGAAACAATCGCGGCGGACACGGCCGTGGTGGAAACCATAATAATAATGGCAATAATAGCCACAACCATAGCAATAACAACCATAAAAATAACGTCAGGGTAGTCCATACAGATTCGGGAAACTCCCAGACGCCTTTAGGTAGACAACAGTAAGAAACACCAAAGTTCACACTATAAATCTCAGCCAAAGTACATTTGTTAGTTTCACAAACGTAGCAACAGGAAAAGAATTAGTTTTTCTACTAGATACAGGTGCAGAAATTTCCATATTAAAGGAAAATTCTGATGCTTTTCAAAACATCAAAAGTAATCAAATAATAAACATACAGGGTATAAGTCAAGAAGTTACCAAATCAAAAGGTTTAACTTCTATTGAAATTCAAACTTCAAAATACATAATTCCACATGATTTCCATATCGTAAATTTTCAGTTCGCTATTCCATGCGATGGAATACTAGGAATCGATTTTATTAAAAGATACAACTGTCAATTAGACTTCAAGCCGTCTGAAGACTGGCTTATAATAAGACCAAATAACCTCCAATATCCTATTTATGTTCCAATAACATATAGCTCTGGCAATAACTCTCTAATTCTGCCAGCAAGATCCCAAGTCGTACGAAAAATTGAAATGAATTCAGAAAATGACAGTGCATTAATTCCGAATCAAGAAGTTCAGCATGGTATCTATATAGCAAATACCATAGCAACAATCCAGAATGCATATATAAGACTATTAAATACCACAGATAAGGATCAAGTAGTTTATATTAAAAATATTCTGCATGAACCACTTTCAAACTACGAAGTAGTACAAACTGACTTAGAAACCCGAGAAAAAAATTGTATTATCCCAACTTTCCAAAAACTTCCCTCCTCAATTCAACAAACAACTCACAAAATTATGCACCCAGTATAGTGATGTGTTCGGACTAGAAACCGAATCAATCACTACCAATAATTTCTATAAACAAAAACTGAGATTAACTGATGATGAACCCGTATATATAAAAAATTATAGAAATCCTCATAGCCAAAAAGACGAAATTCAAAAGCATATCCAAAAACTCATTAAAGATAAAATAGTGGAAGCCTCTGTATCACCATATAATAGCCCACTTCTGCTAGTACCAAAAAAGTCACTCCCAAATTCAGAAAATAAAAAATGGCGATTAGTAATAGATTATCGTCAAATTAATAAAAAACTCTTATCTGATAAATTTCCACTCCCTAGAATCGATGACATTTTAGATCAACTAGGTAGAGCAAAGTATTTCTCATGTCTCGACTTAATGTCCGGTTTTCACCAAATTGAACTCGAAAAAAATTATACGCCTATCGAGGAAACTATCGCGGTAACAATTACAAAAACAATTATCGCGGTAGAGGTAATAATCGAGGTAGATATAACAATAACGGGTATATCCAAAATAATGGTTACTACGGAAACAATAACTATAATAACAATAACTACATGAACAACAACAACCGTGGTGGAAACAATCGCGGCGGACACGGCCGTGGTGGAAACCATAATAATAATGGCAATAATAGCCACAACCATAGCAATAACAACCATAACAATAACGTCAGGGTAGTCCATACAGATTCGGGAAACTCCCAGACGCCTTTAGGTACACAACAGTAAGAAACACCAAAGTTCACACTATAAATCTCAGCCAAAGTACATTTGTTAGTTTCACAAACGTAGCAACAGGAAAAGAATTAGTTTTTCTACTAGATACAGGTGCAGAAATTTCCATATTAAAGGAAAATTCTGATGCTTTTCAAAACATCAAAAGTAATCAAATAATAAACATACAGGGTATAAGTCAAGAAGTTACCAAATCAAAAGGTTTAACTTCTATTGAAATTCAAACTTCAAAATACATAATTCCACATGATTTCCATATCGTAAATTTTCAGTTCGCTATTCCATGCGATGGAATACTAGGAATCGATTTTATTAAAAGATACAACTGTCAATTAGACTTCAAGCCGTCTGAAGACTGGCTTATAATAAGACCAAATAACCTCCAATATCCTATTTATGTTCCAATAACATATAGCTCTGGCAATAACTCTCTAATTCTGCCAGCAAGATCCCAAGTCGTACGAAAAATTGAAATGAATTCAGAAAATGAATTCAACCAAAAAAGTCACTCCCAAATTCAGAAAATAAAAAATGGCGATTAGTAATAGATTATCGTCAAATTAATAAAAAACTCTTATCTGATAAATTTCCACTGCCTAGAATCGATGACATTTTAGATCAACTAGGTAGAGCAAAGTATTTCTCATGTCTCGACTTAATGTCCGGTTTTCACCAAATTGAACTCGAAAAAAATTCACGAGATATAACATCCTTTTCAACGAACAATGGTTCGTATCGTTTCACACGATTACCATTCGGTTTAAAAATAGCGCCAAACTCCTTTCAAAGAATGATGACTATAGCTTTCTCTGGATTGGAGCCTTCCCAAGCATTTCTTTACATGGATGACTTAATAGTAATAGGTTGCTCCGAAAACCACACGCTCAAGAACCTAACTGATGTTTTTGAGAAATGTAGGAAACACAACCTAAAGTTACATCCCGAAAAATGTTCATTTTTCATGCATGAAGTCACCTTCCTAGGACATAAATGCACAAATAAAGGAATCTTGCCCGACGACAAAAAATACGACGTCATTCAAAATTACCCAGTCCCACATGATGTGGACAGCGCTAGAAGATTCGTTGCATTTTGCAATTATTACAGACGTTTCATAAAGAATTTTGCTGAATTCTCCCGTCACATAACAAGATTATGTAGGAAAAATGTAAAATTCGAATGGACAACAGAATGTCAAAACGCTTTCGAACATTTAAAATCAGCATTAATAAACCCAACTCTGTTGCAATACCCAGATTTTAGCAAAGAATTTTGCATAATTACAGATGCTAGCAAATACGCTTGTGGAGCAGTACTAACTCAGAATAAAAATGGATTACGAAAGGTGAAAGCAACAAGAGCACTTCAGAACAAGAATTAGCAGCTATTCATTGGGCAATAATACACTTCAGACCATATATTTATGGTAGACATTTCACTGTCAAAACAGACCACAGAGCACTTATTTACTTATTTTCAATGGTAAATCCCAGTTCCAAACTAACAAGAATGAGACTTGAATTAGAGGAATATAATTTTACGGTAGAGTACCTAAAGGGCAAAGATAATTATGTAGCCGATGCGCTCTCCAGAATAACAATCACAGACTTAAAAAACATACAATTAAATATTCTGAAAGTCACTACCAGAAACCAAAGTAGACTAAAATCCTGCGCAGGAAAAGAAAAAATAGCATAAGCAATCCATAGAAAAAGCTTCAAAGCCCAACGTATATGAAGTCATTAATAATGATGAAGTACGTAAAGTAGTGACCTTGCACGTAAATGACAATATGTGTTTATTTAAGCACGGAAGGAAAATTACAGCAAGATATAATGTTAGCGATTTGTATACTAATGGAACCCTTGACTTAGGTCAATTCTTTCAAAGGCTTGAAAAGCAAGCCGGTATGCACAAAATCAGCCAACTTAAAGTGGCACCGTGGGAAAATATCTTTGAACATGTTTCAATTGATAATTTTAAAAATATGGGCAATTATATATTGAAATCATTAAGAGTAGCGCTACTCAACCCGGTGACCGTAATAAAAAATAATAAAGAAAAGAAGCTATATTGTCTACATTTCACGATGATCCAATACAAGGTGGTCATACAGGCATTACAAAAACCTTGGCCAAGGTCCAGAGGCACTATTACTGGAAAAATATGTCCAAAGACATAAAAGAGTACATAAAGAAATGTCCTAAATGCCAAAAGTCTAAAACGACTAAACACACTAAGACCCCATTAACCATAACCGAAACTCCGCAAAGAGCTTTCGATAAAGTAATTGTGGATACGATTGGTCCACTACCCAAATCTGATAATGGAAACGAATACGCAGTAACACTCATCTGCGATTTAACTAAATACTTAGTAGCAATACCAATACCAGATAAAAGTGCAAATACAGTAGCAAAAGCTATATTTGAAAATTTTATTCTAAAGTACGGTCCAATGAAGACGTTCATTACGGACATGGGAACGGAATATAAAAATTCAATTATTGGGAATTTATGTAAAAATCTAAATATTGAAAACATAACTTCTACTGCACATCATCACCAAACTGTAGGTACCGTGGAGCGAAGCCACAGAACACTCAATGAGTATATTCGTTCATACATCTCAGTAGACAAAACGGATTGGGACGTATGGCTACAATACTTCGCCTATTGTTTCAATACAACACCCTCTATGGCACATGACTATTGTCCATATGAATTAGTTTTTGGTAAAACGTCAAATCTATCAAAACATTTTAATAGCGTAGATATAATAGAACCCCTTTACAATATAGAAGATTACGCTAAGGAATCAAAATTTAGATTAGAGCATGCATTTAAGAGAGCTAGACTAATGCTAGAAGCTCATAAGCAAAAACAAAAAATCATTTATGACAAAACTAGTTTGGATTTTGATTTAAAAATAGGAGATCAGGTTTTATTGAAAAATGAAACGGGACATAAACTAGATTTTAAATATACAGGTCCTTATAAGGTAGAACAAATAGGAGATAGAGATAATATAACTATATTAGACAATAAAAATAAAAAACAAATAGTACATAAAGATAGATTAAAACTTTTTATTTCATAATCAATCAACATTTCATAAATATATCACGTGTGGCCATAAATATAAAAAAAAAAAAAAAAAAAAAAGCAAAATAAGCATACCAAATATAAAAATACAAAAAAAATCTTATTGTTAACATCATTTATTAAATTTTGTACAATCTATGTTAGAAAATAACTTCATTATATTACGTTATTTTTCAAAAGGAGGGAGATGTAATATGCTCATATATGCACTATTAATATCATATGTAAATATATCGACCACCCACTGTACCAAGTCGCAGTGTTTATGTTATCACGAGTGGACCTTATGCATGTCCACATACCTCCGCCTAAGCGAACATAACATTAATATATATTCATATATAAATATTTAAGAATACATAACCGTCCCTCCGCTGCTGCTTTGGGCAGCGCAGCTACGGGATTTAGACTTTCTTTAATTCATAAGTAAATTTGTAAAATCAGAAACTCCCTTGGGCTCGGAGCGGCAACTACAGTTGCTCCGACTAAATAAAGAACCTTTTACAAACTTACAATCAAGAGCCTTCAATTATTGGGAATCGATTACACGGCGATCCTGCCAGGAGGATCGTAGTACACCCCCTCATTTTGATATTCAGCAGAGAATTCCTACTATCGCACTCTTTTTTTTCAGAAAAACTTATACGGCTTTGATACGACTTTATACGGATCTTTTTTACCTTTAACGGATCATCGCTAAACTATGGACAAGAGAATCTTCGACGATTACTTGAACTCGGTGGGATCTGACGAGAGCATCCTGTCCGTGATCGAGCCCTCCACTGAAGGTATGCTGACAGGGAAGTCTTGCAAGGCCAAGAAAAAGCCTACATGTGCCCGGAAACAGAAGAAGTGCTCGAAGCCTAAGAAGACGTGCAAGTCAAAACCTAAGAAAACCTGCAAGCCCGGTCCTATTATGAATAATGGATACCTTAACTTCGTGCGTGCCTACCGGGAAAAACACAGTTCCATGAAGCCACAGGAACTGATTAGAAGGGCGGCCAGAGCCTGGTGCCGTTTATCCGAGGAAAAAAAAAATATATACCGGCGCATGGTGAGTTTTTTGCATTATGTTATTTACTATCCTGTAACTAATCTTCTGAAATCCCGCAGGCTTGCAAAGTTACAACTAGTGAAAGACATAAAAGACGCAAAGTTTGCAATCCTGAAAAATGCGAGAAATATTAGGTGGCTCATCTAAGTCTTCTTCAATCAATCCCCGTCTTCTGGACCCTGCTAATTTTGATGTGCTATTGGTGGCTCATCTAAGTCGTCTTCAATCAATCCCTGTCTTCTGCCCTGTAATGGTCACCTATGCTGCCCATTCTAGTTTCAAAAATAAAAACAAAAATTAGATTAGAATAACGTCTTAACGAAACTCTCCACTTTTATCGATAGGGGGTAGCAATTTTTTTTAATCATTCTAATTTGCATACTAGGTGCTCGGTTTCACCTTGACATTAGTCTGCAGCTGCTTACTAAGCAGTGGCCTAATTCTTTTTCTTTGGAGCTGTCAAGCTAATCAGTCGTACTTAACTAAGCACATATACATACATAACTAGACAGAGTGAATCACGTGCAACCTTTTGATTAAAATTAAAATCTGTGAAATCTATCACCATCATAGGCTATAAAAGCCAAAAAGTGAATATATTTAAGTCGCGGAAAACCCTAGCCTTGGATAAGGTAATTATTTTCGGGCTCGCCAGCCGAAATCATATTTAAACGTTTTTTTTTTTTTCTATATAAGGCGGTTTCTGAGGCCGAATAAAAAAATAATAAAATACACGACCGCGCCACTCGCAACACCTGTCCCCACACCTGGATCAGTGCCGGTACGCCCACTCCACCCATCACGACCCCAGGAGTCCGCAAATTATTAGTAAAAAAATAAAGAACCTACATATATTTATATATCGTAAAGCAGCCCAGTGCGATTTCTCATATAGTACAGATTCGTATATATATATATCCTCGGAGGGCCTAGCACATAAGAGTCGTCTTCGCCTAACTTAAGTAATTCTTTTATGATTAAATCTGCATCATCCAGATTCTCAAAATTGATAAAGTTGCAAAAACAAAACAAAAATGAAGTCACATCGATAAAATAGAATAAATTAATAAAAATAACTACCTAAGTCTAATTGTAACCCTATTATAATTAAAATAACTCAACCATTGAAATGTGAATTTAGATAGCAGAAAAAACAAAACCAAAACAAACAAAAAAAAAAAAAAAAAAAATGTAATTAAGGAACGCCTTGCAGCATATTGATTTAGTTGTAACTTAGTTGTAAGAAATTTAACCACCATTTAAACTAAACAGCCCATCATATACCAGACTCCAAAATGAAGGCCTTCATCGAGGATCACAATATTGGGGTGAGTGAAAAGTAACAAAAACAAATATCTAAAAACAAAGAACACAAATTTAATCGGGGTTAAAATTCTTAGGAGATTTTTTTTTGTTAAAATGTTAAACAATTTTTGAAAAGTTAAATGAAGAAAACATAAATAATTAAAAAAGAAAAAAAAAAAAAAAATGAAAAAATACTAAAAGATTAATATGCTAAAGGTTAAAACTTAAAATTATAAAGAGTAAAATCAATGTATAAAATTATAAAAAGTAAAATATGAACACATACATATCTGCCCAGCAGATAAGCTTGTAGACCGCAGGGCTAATTTGTTTTTGATTTCGTTGATCGCCCCGTTAGAAGCTCGGCCTAAAATCTAACGTACATTCATTGTTGTTGAATTTTATTTTTTTTTGATTATTATTGAATTGTATTATTGAATTATATATATAGATAGGATAGTCGCCGATAATGTTAAATATAAAAGTTAAGCCATGAAGAACAATTATGATTTTTTTTAATATATAGTAATTTACCAACAAATTATGAGTGAGTAAATTCTTATTTCTGTGACCTGGGAATGTGAGTAGGCGTTATAATTGGGGTCTTAAAAAAATAAAGTTCTTAAGACTAAGGTAGGGTGGGTAACGAAACAGTGCCCGACGTTTAACAGCTGTGTCGGCACATACTTCTTCCTCCGTTGTGTTATCTTCCTCCCACCTGCTATTATGCCATCATGACGTTGATCTCCTCGGGGTCAATGAACCCGAGTGTTCTGATATCATTTTTTTTGTTTTGCTTCTCCATGATCGAGTGGACATTTAGTTGCAGTAGGGACTCTTAGATTAGTCTTTCAGTAATCTTATGTACTATGGTATTAGCAAAACCCACCCCATCTCCCGACAGAGCTCCAAATTAATAAGAGTCCCGTTGCAAGTACCTAGTATATTATGCAGTAGCTGGATTGGCCGAATACGGCCGCCCGACAAAAACTTAGGTTCAGCTAGGCAGGAGATTACAAAGATTTGGCGCCCATACGTGGGGCCCGGTGAGAAGGATTCGTAATAGATTCAAGAACCGTCGGCCTGTGGAAAAGTAGAACGTCAGAGCCGAAATAACATTCTTTTAATTTAGGATTTTGCATTAACAAGCGGAGGCTTATTAATTGCGACCAAAGGAAAGAGGTTAACTTTTCGGAACACTGGTGCAGAATACTGTTGAACATCTAATTCTGAGTACTCATCCACAGTAAATAAAATTGCTCGTTTTGCTTTCGTATGAAAATTGGTTGTTAGGATAGAATATCGAAATGGTATACCCTTCTGGAATTTGGGGAGCTTGAGTAATCGAACAACCCGACCGAAGAGTAAGGTATATAATCAGGGATATTTTAAAAAGACCGGAGTGTCAAGCAACAAATATTCATCAAGTGGGTTACATATGTATACATATACATATAAGAAATGAATAGAATAGGTTCTGTTATTATGTTAGTATCGGCTGGAACACAAAAACATATGCGAGAGCGTATTTTTGTCCGTTGATATAAGCGTAGAAGCGAATTATATTTAAAGCATTCTGGTGTAACCTAGTATAATTATAATAGCCCAAACATAAGAATGAAATAGAAAATAAATTAACATACATCTTTAAAGGAGTGACAGATAACATTAAGGGGAAAAGGAAATTTAACCACTCACATTCCCAAAAAAGGTCAACAAACAGAAAATTTAAATCAATCAATCTATATAACTAATAAATAAAAATGCCAATCCAACGTACCCCAGAACAAAGTGGTGCAGAGGCAATCACAAGCGTTTGCGTGATTTGCGAAAATGTAATGGAAAATACGCAGCCATGTGTCATTACCAATTGCAAGCATATTTTTCATAAATCTTGTATGGAACTGAGATTTCATCCTGACAAGGAGAATGAATGTCCATCATGTTTAGCTAAAGTATTGAAAAAGGATGTACGAGTAGTAGTAGGAAACTGTTCTCCTGGTGCGAAACCTGAAGAAGTAAAAGAGCGACAGTTAAATCGACCAAACACTAGGTCTGTGGTTAGACAGCTCCAGCTAGAGGAGGGAAATATAGGTACGTCACAGCTTCAGTCTGAGCAGCGATTGAACTGGGCTCAAGCCAACCCGGCAAGCGAGAGTGAAAGAAGCTTAAATACTCGGCCGTTAAATCATGAAATACCGAGGAATAGTCCACAACGGGGAAGATCACAGCGAGGCAGACCCCCAAGGCAATTTCCAAGAAATAATGATAACTGGATACGACCAAACATAGAACACCTAGTTAGAGAAACAGTAGATAGAATGCTCTCGTCATTGGTACTAAGAAACGGAGTTGAAAATTCGAGTGGTCAAGATCAAAGGGACTTCGATGCACCAAGCCCTAGAGTTTTTTCCTCAGGGCATACTAGCAACAAAGTAGCAGATATTATCCAAAAATGGGGAGTTCGGTTCGAAGGAACTGCGGAAGGGTTATCCGTTGACGAATTTTTATATCGAGTTAAAGTGTTAACACGAGAACACCTTAATAATGATTTTGAGGCAATGGCCAAAAATGTTCATCAGCTTTTAACAGGCAAAGCTAGTTCATGGTTCTGGAGATTTCATAAACGAACAGAAACATTTACTTGGAATCAATTTTGCTCTGGGTTACGTGAACAATATAAAGAGAATCGTTCAAAAACAGAACTGCGTGAACAGATTCGAGCTCGAAAACAAAAACCGGGTGAAACATTTGACACCTATTATGAAGCGATTTGCAAACTAATGGATAAGTTATCTGTTGAGTTTGAAGAATCGGAATTAATTGAATTAGTTCAGGGAAATTTGCAGGCTGATATGAAAGAGAGATTATTATTTGAAGAAATATACTCCATTGATCATTTGAGACGGTTAGTTCAAAGAAGAGAACAGTTTTTACAAGAAGCAGGACGATCTCTTCGCAATGTAGCAAAATCAAAAGAAGGAGGACCTTATCGGGTATATGCAGTAGAAGAGATTGAGACCGAAAACCATAGCATAGACATCTCTGCTATACAAAGAAATCCGTCTAACATAACTTGTTGGAATTGCGGAGTAACTGGACACTATTGGCAAGATTGTCTAGGGGATAGACGTGTATTTTGTTATGGATGTGGGAAGCCTGACATCTATAAGCCCAATTGTGTGCACTGTAAAAACAATTCGGAAAACCGGAAAACCGGGGCATCTCAAAACAATTGGATGTCCCACCAATAAATAATTCGGAGCCTACAAATTTAAATAGATATACCATTTTAAATAAGGAAAAAGAGGACCATAGCATTATAGCTCAAAATAATATACCAGATACAAAGATCGAAAATGAGATAGACAGGAAGTTTAGGCCATATGAAGAACGTTTAAAAAATTATTATAAAGTTAGAGATAGAATTTTCTCGGAAAAGATAATCCCTCGCAAAAGAAATTCCATTCGTATAAAGAAATATTATAAAAACCTTCGAAAGAATCAAAATAGATTATTATACACGATATTTCAAAATAATGCAGATAACCGGAGTTATGCTAGTGTAGCATTTTTAGAGTTTAAAGAATGGGGATTACTTGACACTGGGGCAAATATAAGTTGTATAGGAGCGGATTTAGCAAAACAAGACTTTAGTGGTGTAGGTGGATATAAATCAATAGTATCCCAGGTTAAAACGGCGGATGCTAAACCACATCAAGTTTCAGGCATATTAAAAGTTGCAATGAGATATAAAGGAGAAGAAAAGGAAGTGGAACTCTATGTTATTCCGACAATTGCACAGCGTCTTATTCTCGGAATTGATTTC